TTGAATAAATAAATTATTCATATATTATTACCCAAACTCAAAATATTCAAATTTGAAAACCAATCACAAAACTTCAATTAGTAAGTTTTTGACGACCAAAATAAAAATCCAAAAACAACCAGCAGACCAATTTTGTAATTAGTTTTGGTGATTTATCAAACGAGGTTCACAACTGAAAATATTTAGTTCTTATTGTTTATTTTTTTTAATATAGAGTGCAAACAAGTAGAAATGTACAAGTTTTATTTATTAAGCTGTTTATTTCAATCATATATAATCTTTTACTATGCCAGCTCTAATACAAAGTAAGCAAGGCAAAATTGCAAAACATTCCTCTAAAAAAAGTTGACAAAGACTGTAATAAAAAGTGTACCAAAGCGGAGAACTATAATTCAAATGTTGTGTGAGATAGGGACAATAGAAACTGCACAAAACTAGTCATTAGAGTATAAATGATTATGGTTTTGTAATTTAGTGTAATCTCAACTTAAAATTGCTTAGGGACTATAATTTGGTCTTGTATTTGCACTTTTGATCTGCGGCTCTCTTTTTCGAAATATCAATCGTGAAATCGCACGAAGCGGTCGCGATAACCTTAATCTTGAAGAACAGCAGTTTAACCTTTGCAGAAATTCTGATGTAAGTATTGAGCGGTAGAGACCCCGCCTTGACATCCGAGTAAAGCTGCTTGGATTCCGACAGGAAGCGATCCGCAAAGATGGTGAGAGTCACGTTTACGCCAACCGTATTGTGGGCGGAAATCTCGCCGGCCGGAATCGTAACTTGCCCCACCTGTGTGCCCCGGTAATTCAGCAAGGCTGTGGCATTTTTGTACTTGATCCCGATTCTGTTCGGGTTCTTAATAGACAAACTTACGTCGATCGTGGCGTTAAGGGACACCCCGACACTGTCGGAGTAGAGGGAGACGGAGAGGTCGTCGAGGATGATGGAGTCGATCGTCGTTTTGGGTTTCTTGACCTTGAAGACGGTGCATCCCAGGATCACAATTGGTATAACCACGGCCAACAGAATGGCGATTGCACTAAAACATGGGTTTCTATAAATGGGTCGTCGAGGAACACCGACGACTCCCGATGGAAAAACTTTTCCACCCTTGGATGACGATGATGATGATCCCACCTCCATCCTTTTCCTTATGAGTAAGCTCTTCTAACTAATTTGGTATGAGTCGGCGTTTTTGAATTCAAAAATGTGTTCTGCTATTTAAGCTGGTTTCTTTTTTATTTTTATTTTTATTTTTTATTTTTTTTTTTGAACATATTACAATTTGAAGATTAGTGATTTAAACTTCAATCCTAAGAGGTGTGATATATATAATCATTGTGTCACGGAACTTATACTAATTTTTTTTTTTATGTTGTTTATACAATAAGAGGCAACTCTCTTTCATTCCTTATCCCACCTTATTTGCATGTTATGCAATTTTAATTCAAAATTTTTTATTTTCGATAGAAAAAGATTATCGTTAAACTACTTAGATTGTTGGCTATTCTAATTCTTTTAAAAAGGAAAATCTTGAAAAATAAATGGAATTATGAAATTATGGAATTATTATGGGGAGGCTCTTGAGATTAGAGTGGGACTCATCAGAGGCTCGATAGATGGGAAGGTCTGGTATTCTTGCTTTGTTTGGTTTAGTTATTAACGTTTAACCACGTTTTAGGTGGGGAGGGCTAACTTAATAAAAGCCTAGCTAAGCTAGTTTAGCTCAAGGGTTTTTTTTTCTTTTCTTTTCTTTTCTTTTCTTTTTTTTTGGGTAATCAAGCTGTATATGTAAGGCAAAAGCGTTCAAATATGTAGGTCCCAAATCTTGTTGGATGTGTTTATTAAAAAAAAAAAAGAAAATAATATCCTGTGCATATTTAGTTAATTAACTTCACATAATGGTGTTGTAACTTTTTTTTATTTAGAGCTTGTTTAATAATATTGTTTTTCTAAAATATGTTTTTAGTAACTAATAGTACATTAATATCCAAAAATATAGTGTATATATAGTATTAGTTTTTAAGACACAAGTTAATGATATAATTATTGTGCTTTTTTTACATTAATTAGTATTAAAAAAATAAAAATTGTCACTTATTTAAGCAACTATTTAATTAAAATAGTTCATGTGTTACTGATGATAAAATTAATAATAATTTTTATATTTTTCAATGCTAACTAATGTGAAAAGAGGATAATAATTATACTATTAACCTATATAGTATTACTTATCAAAAAGAAATCAAAATAAAAATTAGAAAAACAATGTTACTAAGCGGATCCTTTTAATTAGTAATTTGTTCACAGTCTGAATATATAATGCATTGATTTTATCAATATTTATTAGATGCTATACAATGTGGATAAATATGTACCAGTAAACAAGTCTCTAAATGGATCCAAAATAAAGAAGTTCCTGTTGCACTATTGTTGAATTTATAGACTTTATCTTTTGGTAAATCAGAAACTTTTTTTTTCCCTTGTGTAACACTAAGTAGTTTAGTGAAAAGCAAATCAATCATGTTAGAATTAAAGAATTCGTTTTTTAAAACAAAAAATTATAAAGAATTATGTGCCTTCTTGAAGGAGGTCAACGTTAATCAATTGGTTTCTAATTGTAATTAGCTTTGGCTAATAAACTTTTTACAATAAAAATAAAAATCCAACAATAATACATACACAAATCTAGATTAATTAATTAAGATATAATAATGCGGTTATAATGAACATTTTCTGCTACTAATTATAATGAATTGCTCGAGGATGGTCCAAATGAAGGTGGGAGGAAATTAATCGAACCCAAAATTGGCCTAACTTATATACCTAATTTCTCTTTGGGTTCATAACCCTAACCTGTTTGTCCGGGAACTGGATAAGAAGAATTGATTTATGATAGCATAAACTTAGTGTGACGACGTAAGAATAAAACCAAACGTTAAGGAAATGTAAAGATCAAGTAAGAATAAATCCAAACCTTGATTTTTCGCATGGCTTAATTTGTTTTTAGGGGTTGACTTTGGAGAAATGGTTCTAGAGTAGCTTCCTCAGGCGTGACTAATGGGAAATTTTATTTTTCATTCTTTTGTAAACTTAAAGGGGCTCAATTCATGCACCTTGAAGGAACTCAATGGTTAAAAACTTGAAACTCTAAGTTAGATATTTCAAGTATGAGTCTTGAGTCAGATGAGGAAAGATTTGTATAGCCTTTAATCAAATGTACCAACAAAAAAAAAAATTCATGCACCTTGAAGGCTAGTACCGGCATATTCAGCCTTAATTTAGAAGAGGATATTCAATTAGGCTAATAAGGTAATGGAAAATGATTAGTATATGTGCACTTGATTTAACATATTTTTTTAAGACTCGTTTTGGTTCAACTACTAAAATATAATATAAGTACAATCGATTCAACCGATTCTTGCATCTTGCATACATATTTGCATCTTTAAATTTGTTTGTCTTTAATTTTATATTAAAAAATAATAATTTTTTAATGAGTGTGTTTTATATTTTGTTGAATTGAAGTGTATATCAATTACTATCTAAGATAATTTAAGTAAGCTAATAAGGTAATTTACATTTAGATTAATTTTGAACGCGCCCATCAATAGAGTTTTTTTAAAGTGGTAATTACATTGATTGTATTAGTATCTATTCTTAGTGGATGAGGGAATGTCAATCCTAGGACTTGAACTTCACATCATCAAGGGGTACGATCACTTTGCTTCTCAAAGAGAAGCATAACAGATGATAGAATAGAATTGATCATTATCATTTTCATGCATTTTATTTCTCATATTTATTTTATTTTCTGTAAAAATAATGCTTTTACTAAAAATAGGTGCTAAGTTGTAAGGGTGTTCAAATCCAATTTAATTTGATTGATCTGGCCCAAACTAACCCAATCCAATAAAAAGCCAAATCAAATTGATATAACATTAGGTTGGTTTGAATTATAAAATTTTAAAACTGATATAATTTTTTGGTTTGTGATTTTACTTTTAAAATGCTTAAATCATCTGGTTACAAGATAACTTAATTAAATAATATAATATATATTTTTTTAGTATTTTAAATTTTCTTTTTGTTCTACATGATAATAACTCCGTTAATTTAATTAAAAAATAAAACAGAACATCGCCATGTTTCTTAATTTATTTTTCCTTCTTAATCATATACTCTAACACTAATTTTAAATTTCTAATTCACCTGCAATTCTATCTCTCAGAATTGATTTGGGACTTTAATCTTAGAAACTTAAATTTTTAATTTGTTCATAAAATAATTCTCCTAGGTAAACTTTAAAGACGTATCATTATGAAAGTTTTAAAATTATATAATAGAATTAGTCTTAATATTCTACTATTTTTGGATGTTTGGTTGAGGAGTTTTAAACCTTGACTATTAATGCTTCTAATCAATCCTAGTGATATTCATGTTAAATTTTATTCACTTTTAACAAGATTTGAAAAAGGAGATTGAATCATTGGTGCATTAAGAGAGAAGCTAGTTTTAACATTTAACAATTACTTGCACTATGCTTGAAATTTGGAGTCATCTTTTATTGTTCTTAGTGCCTCTGGTGATATAACCAAGAAAAATTTTTAGATCTTTTCAATTTTTACAATTGTAAAGGAGTTTAAGAACTTGTTTATAATATATGTCTTTTGTTATGTTTCTACTGATTTGAATATTAATGTGTTTTATAATTATGTTTTCTACTTGATGTTTAAATTTTTTACATTATCTCATATATTTAATTGTGTTAAAAACTAATCAATCTAATTGAACCACGTTAATCCAATTTAAATTGGATTGATTTGGTTATAATATAGCAGTGGATTAGATTGGTTTAAAAATTTTACTAATTGATTAAATTAGATTGGTTTAAAAAATATTAAAATTCAAACCAAATTACACCACCATGAACACCCTTATTTGAGTTGCAAGAATGAAGATTTAATGGATTACATTGAAGTTAGAAGAGATTAGTGGACCATAAATGTCAGAATCTGAAAGTTAAGGGACTAAAGCACCAAAAACGTGAAACTCATGGTTATGCTCTAAAACACCTGACTATGCATTTTTTTTCTTCACGAGTTGAACATGATTTGTTTCGAGGAATATCATAACTTGTGGATCATTCAAGCAAGAAATAAATGGGATTTAGTTATGATTTTTATGAAAAAATTATTTCGAGAAAGTGAATGTACGAATTGAACAGTAAATTATTTGTTTCTATTGTAAACGTTAGGATTGCACTTTTATTTCCTATAAGTAGAGAATCCAAAAACAGGAAGAGTACGGTCGGATTGTATGGAGTGACAACAGAGGAGACGAACAAATTAAGGGTTTGATTTGGTTTGTACTTTTTTTTTTTTTTTTTATCATTCTTCTAATTTTTTTTCGATTTTTGTTAATAAAGGTACTCTTTTCCTCTTCTTTAGGAGTTAAATGCAGTATTTCATTTTATTACTCTGCTTAATTGTTTTGTTTTGATCATTGCTAGTATCTATTATATATCTTTATTGCCCCATTATCCGGTTATTCTGTTTTTTTAGTCTCTCATTGAATTCCTTTTCTTTTTATTTGTCATGGTTGCTCCTTTATCATTGGATTGTTCATGCGTGTTTTATTCCTTTTTGTTATGCTTATATGTTTTGTTTTCTAATTATTAGAATAGAACTCCCTTCGGTTCATCCATTTTCGCTTTCACTTTATCTTGCTTCTGTCTTTGTATGTCCTTTACTTTCTGTTCTTTATTAATTATGTTTAATTTAGATTGCATGGCAAGCTAAGTCCTTACACATCTAGAATTAAGAAACTGGGATCATAAATGCAATGAGTAGTAATTCATTCTCAATGTTCCAAAATGTTCATGTAGGGTGTTTTCTTTATTTATTGTGTT